ACGATCTAGGATTATTGTAGAGGTCTTTGTATATGCAGTCACCGAATGCTTCGGTGCACGTAGCTGTAGCTTGTTTGACATTCGACAATTTACTCATCTACTTACGAGATGCAGCTCCCATTTTCGAGAGCTTAGAAAAATTGCAGGTTGATGGCGAGAAAGGTGAATTCGAGGGACAGAATATCGGTACCAAAGATAGAAAACTCAGAGCTACGCTAGGGGTACAGAAGCTTAACGATATTGCAACGATGATAGCAGCTTAAATCTAAATCCATATGTCCCCTTTATTTAAAATTAATTGTTGTTATCTCGCTGCAGCGTAGCAATTAGAGTGGAAAGCTGGCGGCTTTGAGCTTGCCTCTGTACCAACTGCGCGTCCTGACGTTACAGCATCTCGCCGATGCGGGAGTCGATAAACGCTACAAGCTGCCGGTCCGTTACAGCGCTAGCTGTCGGTGAGGGGTGGGGGGTGACGCCATAGCCGCTGCCATGGCCTGGACGCCCTTAGCAATCGAATGCATTCCGATCTCAAAGCTCTCGCCCATTGCTTCTCGCTTTTTTCACCCCACGCCTCCATAAAGTGATAGTTCAAATGGTCAGGTATCGGCAAAATTGGCGAAAAATTTGTTCATAAAAAAATCGTGCTGACGCTACGTAAGTAGAGCTTTCAAACTATCTCAACCACGCTCCGTGGGAGCTGTACGACCGAAGTTATCGCCGATTTAAAGAACGGGTAATTCTATTTTGGACCGGAGAAGTATGCTTTATGTAGTAATGCCTTGCCGTCCATATTGTCTATTCTGATGAATCTGCCAAAACACTGGCACTAGGTTGATATTCTTTGTCAGCTGGATCGTTTGAGTTGTCACTAAGATAGTCATCACCGAAGTATATACTGTCGACCGGAAGCGGTTGCATGCATGCAGGACACTTGAAGTGTGCTGCACGATTTTCGCTGAGGTTCACCATGTTGAATACACGTAAACACTGAATGTCGCATTGGTGCGGACACTGAGGACCCTCCTGTATAATGTCTCCGTTCTGGTCATTATGTCCGCAAATAAAACACGTCGGCCGAGCAGGGATATGACACACGATAATCACTTTATCATCTTCAACTTCCAGATCGATATGCGTGCGACAGGTGGGACATCTTTTATCATGCTCGAACAAACGTCCAACACAGCTACGGTGGTACGACTGGCGACAGCTGCTGCACACTCATAATTCTTGCTGGCTATCCGACTCGTAGCAGATGGGACAACCACAGCAACTTCCACAGTATCTTCCACGGCATTTTTCACAGAATCGACCACAGAATCGACCACAGTATCGTCCACATAAACGTCCACATAAACCTCCTCTGCTTCCTACGTGACTGCTGTACAGTTCTGTTTTGCGACTACTCCACAGTTTCGTCCAGGTGGCTGCACCGACAATTCGACAGCTTCAGCCCCATCATCATTGACGAAATCAGCAAATTCTGTGTCAAACCAGTTCCAGTCTACATCGGGTACGCTGATATTGCCGCCGGGGGCATCGTCATCTACTGTGCCGTTATCATTGTTGCGTGTTTCGTTTTCCAGTGATGCCTCATCAGTTTGTAAAATGCCACCATCACAAGCACCCACTTGTGACGCACCCTCACTATCGTGCAATAGATGATCCAGAATGTCGGATTCATGCCTTTCCTGCTCACCCTCAACACCCCCTCTGCGACGTCAACGGTATTCTGCGTCGCGTTGACACCGCTGCTCTGACCAAAGTGACGCTCCAGCTGGTAGCGGTAGCCTTTAATCCACTGACAGCACACGTCACACATCCGAAATGTTGGGTCTGGAAATCCCCGACATGGCTTTTGGAGGTCTCGACTAAGATTGTCGGCTCTGGAAAACTGGTGATGACACGTTTCGCAGACGTGCTCCAAGTTTCCGGACAGTAGATCACAAATGTCCATTCCTTAAAATAATAATGATAATAAACATTTTTAAGTACATTACATTACGTTGCTACAAAAACCATTTACTGGTCGCACGTGTGATTCTTGGTCGTTGCAGAAGGAGTCTTCGCGGTAAATTCGATAATAAAGTCCTATTGTGAGCAGATGGCGGCTTCCACGGGTGCGAATTGTTTTGGTATGACACCAAGAGTCCGCCTTTTATTTACCTACCCCTACAATACACGCTAGTGGGTCGCAATATACCAAAGTTCATTTCTCACGTCGCACTCCACATCAAACATACATAATTTCACGCACGTCAGCGAAGTCCTACATCGCTTCAGATTTATGAAAAATGTTTTATGGACACAGCCAAGAAAAAAAGAAAAACGTCTAGAGCATATTGAATTTTATTTCGAGGGGTCTAATCCACAGTGGTATATGAAATATATCCGATAGCTACATGCTTCACTGCTATCTGACCAATGGGGATCGGCATATGGAGGAGGATGGTGCGGCCGTAGGCGTCAAGACTTCTGTGTAAGTACATAGCTGGAGTATCTATACGGATAAATGATATAGTCAGCCGATTCGCTGTTTCAGACTTTGTGCTGCTATTAAAGCAAACGCCGTGTACCAGCTAAATATTCGCTTATCCCAACTAGGAGTTATTATAAACCGTAAAAGCGTGACTGTGCTAAATGAGCGATAGTTGTCTTACATTCGCGCTCTTATGAAACCAACTCGTCATTAGAAAGGCGCATCAGCGCATGTGTAGCATAAATACGACTGGGTATATACTACTTACCATATTTAACAGTGGAGGGGCGTATTTACAATTGTGCTTAACGTAGGAATGCTCAGCGTTTTTGCGACCGAATCCAGCGAAAGCTGCATGTTTTGCAAAAGTAGGCGGCAAATTCTTCATAAAAAGCAAAACTTATTGGTTTTTTAAACCACGTCATGTGGTATTTCTCTGGCTCAAAGAAACTGGTCCTATTACTTATGGCCAATGGCGTTACGAATAAGTTTCACTTTTGCTCAAAAAGGCTCGACATATTTATCGTATTTTCTCCAGTCAGCAGCCAAGCGCAAAACGACGTTAAACACGCAGGAAGTGTTAGTTTTGTTTTTGACGGGCTAGTGAACCATTGTAATTCCCTTTCAAAGTGATAGACGTCAGTGCGGTATATGTCAACAAAACCAGCAGATTGTGTTGATTATACGAAAATATTAGCTTTTTTGTATGGAGTGCAATTTACTTGACCTACTATAGGAAGCAAAAGGATTAATGGCGTTATCAAGGTCCTCTTTTGAAGAATCCATAATTGAGCCTGAATATATTCCGCTTAGATAATAAGAGTCGCATAAAAAATTGCCGGGCTAAAGTGTGATTTTATGAAGATTTGAAGTCATTAAAAAGGATAGGCATAATT